AAAAAAAAAAAAAAAAAAACAAAACAAAATGCTGTCCCTGTTGCAAAACTTGGTCTGATGTCTACACCAACATCCTGCCTGCTGACACATCAACTTAAAAATCTATTCATTCACTTATTCATTCAACACCAAAAAAAGTGCTAGTGCCTACTATGTGTCACGCACTGTTCTGGTTCTAAGTATAAAGTAATAAGACAAATAAGGATTGTGCCTTCATTTAGTCCAGTGGTAGAGTGAGACAATAAATATGCAAACATCTTTTCAAAATAACTTCTAATGATAGTTCAAACTACAATCCAAACAAATCAATTATTATTATGGTATGCATAACCTAAGAAATCTCCTCTAGGTAGGATAAAGTTGAACCGAAATTGAAATCTTGAAAAGCACTATTGTGTGAAGATCTAAAATGTTCACACAAAATGAAGAGGAAGTACAAAATCTAGACACTCAAAACGCTTCCTCACTAGTAGAGTAAGAAAGGCTCATCAAAATTAAAATAGAGTCAAGAGTATAACATTCAGTTTTCTTAGTTACTCTGATCACTTAAATTCTGCCTTTGTTGATTTGGTTGTTTGGGACATATCCCAATAAAACAGTATGCCAGAGGGCCCGGAATTTAGCTCAGTGGTGCTGCCACCTCCCTTGCAAGCGCAAGGTCCTGAGTTCAATCCCTGGTACCAAAACAAAAGAACAGTATTCCAGGTAGATAGATATATGGATAGCTAAGTAGAGTACAAAAATCATTATTGTAATGCCATTTAATATTTTATAATTTTATAATAATAGTGACTCATTTTTAAACTCAGCTTTTTACTAACGCAAAGTGCATGGCTTGCATATATCTTACTTCCTTCATTGCTATTTTTTTATTATACCATTTACTCACTCTCATTTTTGTCTCAAAAGAAAAAAAAAATACTAGAGGCAACAGTGACCTTTTCTTGAAGGAAAGGGGTAAAAGCTATTGTGACTAGAACATAATGCTTTCATATGAATCGAAAATTTTAATGGCCAACAGACCAGAGAAGCAGTGAGACAAGTTCACACCTTGCAAAGTGGGAGAGAGTGCAGAAAAGATCCCAAAGTCGCCAGGGAAAAGATGGTCTTCACCACACCACAGAGGATTAAGGAGAGCGATCTGGGTGAAGGCACACAGGAAAATACACCTGCCCGAGCAGAGCAGGGAGACGGAAAGCGTGCTATAATGAGCTATGGGGCACAAGTTGCGAACAAAAAAGACTGATTTTGAAAGGCAAGAAACGTCAAAATTGTATATCCATTTGGTTTACCCTACAAGTAGAAGTACATCACTCATGACATGCAAGCTCATCTAATAGCATACTTGTAGCAAATTCTCAACTACTACAGAATTAATTATATTTTTTTCCTGAGAAGAAATAATAATTGGGTAACTTTTAGAGAAAACATAAAACTTTAAATCCTGGTAAACTGTCTTCCAGGCCCTCTGGCATACTGTTTTATTGGGATATGTCCTGAACAACAGAATCAACAAAGGCAGAATTTAAGTGATCAGAGTAACTAAGAAAAGTGAATGTTAAATTCTTGACTCAATTTTAATTTTGATGAGCCTTTCTTACTCTACTAGTGAGGAGTCCTAATGATTTAAGACCTTACAACTGTGGCTATTAACATATAAGTGCATTGCAATTGACTTTTGATTTTGTCTAATGATGGAAGGCCCTACAAACTAGTAGCTATTAACATGTCAGAGTTTCCAATTGACTTCTGACTTTCTGTCTTGTTTCCCACATATATGAATAAGGAGATGTACATTAGAATGCTAGTCTAACCCTTCATCGGTGGAAAACATCTAGAAGTTGTGTATTGTAAAGAATGGCACTGTAACCCTTACCACACCTACTACAAGGCTCACAATTTTAATATATGCATTCAGAATTATGGTTATGTTCTGTGGCAAAATAGCAAGATAAATTTTGATTGTATTTGTAGTGTGTATATAGTGCTTGAGTCTATTTTGTTGACCTCATTAGCATTTTATTTTAACTACTAAGCCAATTAACCAGTTCAGTGCAGACTTCTTATCAGGGTTTTACTCCTCTTGTCATTTTTTTTTTTTTTTTTTTTTTTT